TGTTTGGCCCCTTGGCGGGAAGCACAATTGAAAATGCGCATTTTATAAAGAATTATTGAAAATAAGCGTCGGCTCCGTTTGTGTGATTTATGAGTAGCGCTTAGAAACACTACTACGCGTTCGTTTGGACAGTCAAAATAACCCCAGCAAAGGGAACTTCAGTAAGAAACTAACTCGCGCCGAATGGATCTCGCTACCGATGACTCTCTTGGGAGATTTTATGTACCTCCCAGCCGTGTACCGCTCGAAAAGACGAGGAGAATCTACTAAGGAGCTCTCTTTCATCTTAAGAGGGTATGTATGGACTTTACTTACTGGACTAATTTTAAAGTGTTCTGAGAAAATAGAAAATTAATAACTACACGAAATCTAAACTTGAAATCTACAGTTAAAATTCCGGCTCCGTTTCACATAAAAATATTTAATTTGCATGCGGCTCCATGACCGACATATGTCAGTATTCTTTGTCTCACAAACGAAAGTAGTGCGAGACGAAATTTTGAGAGCTTCTCGCTCATGGTCACATCTCTAACAAAGACGCGCAATCGTTTGTGTCCGCGTGTGTTCTACATGAAAACTCAACCTCATCCTTAAATACACACAATATAATGAGTGAAACATCCAACTAATACGTACGTCAAAGAATATTAATAATAATCTATAATCAGGAAACGTTGGCTAAAGTGACAACCGTGAATTTATTATACCTTTTCGCCGTCCAGTAGAGTATTATCATTTTGTCGCTTTCGTTCACCGTAAAGCCTAAATATGGCGCATTTTCTACATCAGAGAATAGAGTATGATTTTTGCCAAGCGCGATGTTTTGTGATATTACACGTTTTTTTGTCAAGAGCTGACAGCCAGTTACAAAGGCCACAAAATGAAAAGAAATTTCATGTTCATTATCAGTGTTGTCTTTGCTTGGTTGATTTCATTATTCAGTTTAAGACAAAGTTGGGATAGGTGTATTTGGTTTATCGCGTGTTCTAACGTCTCTCTTTACTCTGCAGTTGTCGGGTCATTACTAGCACGTTATCTCAATGGCTCGTCTGTCAACTGTTGGAATATTTTTTTCAAAGCGATAGTTAGTAAATCAAGATTGAAAAACGCCACCGAAAACGTTTAGTTTCCATCTTATTGTTTTAGCAGTGTCAATGAACACAAGACGTTATAATTACCAAAGTGTTGATAAAATGAAATATCTTCCGCCATGGCGCGAAGTCAAAAAGACTGATTGCGACCTAGAAATAATTATGCTAAAGCAACACCTTTACAAAGGAATAATGTTGACAAAAAATGATTTATAGACTCGCTTTTACAGGGATATCCTGGTTTTTAATCTATTAAATTCTATTCAAGAACAGTATTTAGCTTTCTACCCATGGGTTTCATAGCTGCTTCTTAAATAAAACCGAGAGCAGAAAAGGAAAATACATTGCCATGGAGAAAACCTACAGAGTATAACAAACACAAACGTTATTTTGCTTTCGCATTTTAACTAGACAAAGCAACATACAAAATCAATTTAAGGAATATTCTAGAACTTTAAATTATTTGAATTAAAATGTAGGCCGGTGGTTGCTGTACTATGGGCGTTTTTTTCTTTTGAGAGAATGGAAGTGTGCAATAAACAATTCGAAAAAACTCCAAGGCAAAGTTCAGTTCGCTGTAGTGGACCTAAAAAATGATTTCATAGTAATTATTTGACGCAACAGTTTCGTTCACTTATTGTTATATGCGTCTTACGCCGCGGAACAGGATGATACAAAATATAATGAGCACGCGGAGATCCAAATTCAAAGATAAAGCAAAGCGTGATCGAGAATTTTACATAAATCGCGATCGGGTTTATTTCGGGAAATATCAATGCGGCCGAGTTAAAAAAACAAACACTCAGTGATGAAATACTATGCAATGAGGCAAATGTTTTGTCGTTGAATGCCAAACGATTAATAGAATGCTTTCCTTGCTTACTATTCTCCATAGCATTGAGTCAAAATTTCTTTCAGCCATTCTTTTCTTCCGTGGTTATATATTACTTAAACGAATAGGCGGAGATTATATTAAAAAGGACTGTTTTTAGTTGAGTAATAAATAATTTAGGTCGCCCAAATAGGTTCGATTCAGTGCTCTGAGATCGTTGCTACAACAAGGTCTCAACATGGCCAAAACTAACGGTCAAAACAGTTTCATAATTCCCATAGTGACCACAGTCTGCAAGTGCGCTTTGGGAAGGTCTCTAACTCCGAAACCGCGAACAAAAGGTTGTCGTTCACAAATATTCCAAGGTGGAAACACGCTTTCATGCAAATTTAAGTTAGTGAGATTCCAAGCGGAGAATAAGGCATTTATACATGTGTTTTCTGGTGGCAGTATTGAATTCGAGAGGCGTTGACTTTCTCTTTCTTTAATTTAGTGATGTGCTCAGGTTGCATGGAATTAACCAAGGCATTACATCGGCACCGTTTGGTTTTGCAAATTACATCAATGACATTTTATCAGAATATTTCAGTTCGATGAAAATGATCGAAGAGACTCCTGTCACTTGCTCAGTAGTAGCAAAGCTGAAAGAAAATTAAAATGAATTTACCTTATATTTATTCTATTCAACTTCTTTCCGGCCACTGGATCACAGAAATGAACGAAAAAAAAAAAAAAAAATGAACGGCCTATGAATTAAACCAACCGCTTGCAATGGTAACGGCCGTAGCTTGTTCTAGCGTTCATCTCAGTCGCGGTGGAAAGTTTAAAAAATACTTCCACTGTTATGTCTGTTATCTATCGCCAACGTGAAGGGTGAACCAACAGGAAGTTCGGGCTTTCATGCAGTAATACTGAGGAGTTATCCACTTTGGTAATACCATGAAGTTTCGCGAAGTTTGATTCAATATTTTCTTACTGAGTAGTTGCAACCTAGCTTTATGACTATTTTAGCTGCGGTAGGACTTTGCAAAATCTGACGATATTTATTGGCCTAGCTAACCCCAGGCTTACAGAGCCCTGAGCCATCAAACGAACACTACGTGTACTCAAGAGAGAATACTCTAGGCACTGATAGAGCTTTGACCAGCCTTGTGTTACTAAGCAAGCCGAAGCCATTTTACTACTGCTGGAAATAAAAACGTTTCTCATGTGATTCTCATCCACAAGAGAGCTAAAATTTAGCCGTTTTTGGCCATGATACCGGTGAAACGAGCTAAGACAAACCAGTGCATGGCTGATGCGGAGGGAGGGCGGGACTCCCCGAATACATTCGTCTACCCAGAGGACGAATAGAATACAACATTCACCTCGTAGATAGAAAATGAAACCCCAATGAATGTGTTGCCAAACATGGGTCTCGTCCAAACCGACGAAATCTGGATCGGGCAAAATCAGGAGAAGAATGTGTAATAAGTCAACGAGAGCCAAGATTCCAAGCAGACTTTATTGCACAAAACAACATGGCTGACTCCCGTGAGAAGACAACCTTACCATGAATCATGGGTACTCATGTAACGTCAAAGCTTGTTGGGTAACACGCTCTCTTCTTCCTACAAAATCAAATAACTAATAACAATGTCTATAAAGCTAGAACACAACGATTGAACATGACGAAATGGACATGAACCGATACCGTCAGTAGTCCTATCTGCAAGCAATCTCACTTCTGCTAACGGTCAATATGGAGCGCGCTTGTTTTCAGCAATGGGTACTCTGCACCTAAAACAAGAAAGGAGTCTGAATTGAGTGTGACATCTGCGAACAGTCTGAATATCTGGCAGGGCGACGAATAGCTCGGCCACCACGAATTACAGTTTGAGGTTTAGGCAAACTGGGCGATGAAGTGACCGCGGATGACTGTGACGCTGTAGGTTGCAGAATGACAAGGCTATATGAAGGGAGAGACACAGTCTTATGACATTTATCAGCTGAAGGTGGTGAATGTGTTACAGGGGTCGGTGATGGAGTGGAGAGGGAACTTGCGGAGGGCCTTGTTGTTACAGGTACCAGTGATGAAGTAGATGAGAAACTTGCTGAAGTCCTTTGTGAGACGTGGAAGGTGGTGGCATGGCTGTTAGAGAGTTGGGTGATAGTTGTCAGGAAGACTTAGCTCAGCCCAGTTGTGAGATGGAGGGTCATCTGTGCGCTGAGGAGGAGCAAGCTGGACTTGGATCCAGTTTCGTCGGATTTGACTGATACCAGTGTCAATGAGGTAAGGACAAGAGTCAGCAGAACCCACCACTTTGCCTTGGATCCAGGTCTTGCTTGATGAGGCAGGTGGTGGCTTTGCGTACACATAGCTCCCAGCGAGAAGATCCTGGAGAGGTGCGCTTGCATGTTAGTCGTATGTATTCTTTTGCTTCAATTTACCCTGGATATGATCGGTTACCACTGTGTCACGCGGGAGCGAGAGAAAAGGTGTGTCCAGCAGAGGCAGTGTTGCTGACCGACAAAAGGGCTAAGTCTACACTATCGGCCGTGAGTCAAGATGTGTTTGGCTGACTTAACAGCAGCATCAGCTCGACCATTTAACTGCAACCAGTACGGGGAAGATGTGATGTGATTTAATTGGTACCTCTTGGCAAAAGTCTGAAATAGGTCAGAGGTGAACTGAGCGCCATTGTCTGTTATGAGGGTGTGTGGAATGCCATGCCGGCTGAAGTGCTACCTGGTAGCCTGGATGACTGAATGGTTGGGAGTCGATTTATTTCGTAAAAATCAGTGTAATGGTCAACTGTCACCAAATATGCAACACCCTTGAGTTCAAAGAGGTCTTGAGAGAGTTGGAGTGGCTCTAGAGGGTGTTGATGCGCATGTTGAGCACAGGTCGTTCGGAATTGGCACTCGTCTGTTATTTGACTGCTAAGGCCAGGCCAGAACACACAATTGCGAGCATGGCGGAGGGTAAACTCAGAACGCCGATTGGCTGCATGGAGTTTGCGCAAGAGCTTTTCTCGAAGGGAGGATGGGATGGTGAAGCGATCCTGCTTGAAAAGTACACCGTCATCCACAGTGAGTTAGTTATGTACAGACCAATATGGCTGTGCTAGCACAGCAACAACTTCGTTTGGCCATGAGTGGAGGGCAATCTGATCGGGATCTAAGGAAGCTGCAGCTCTAATGTACCGGAGGGTAGTATCTCGAAAACCAGGAAGGTTAGGTGTGGTGGACCCAAACTCCACTCGGTAGACTAACTCATCGTGGACTTGCTTATGAAATGTAGTGGCCCAAGGCGCTCGAGAAAGGGAGTCCGCAATGTGAAGTGAAGAGCCCTTTCGATACTCGCTGCAGGGCAAGGATCATGCTCTAGAGAAGACGCGGAGCAGAGGTTAGAGGGCGCTTGAACATAGTTTCTAGGGGTTGTTGATCGCTGTGAACCGTAATATCAGACTTGCCGAAAAGGAGCTGATCGAATTTGTGAAAGGCGTGAACAGTGGAAAGAGTTTCTTTTTCAATTTGAGCGTACCGCTGTTTAGTTGGAGAAAGCGAGCTGGAACTGTACTCGACTGGTTGCCATTGGATGTTGTTGGAGCCATTGGGATCAATGGCTGGTTGACACAGTGCGCACCTAAGTAATATTCCAAGGCATCTACTTGTGTGGCGGCTTTGCTGTGCTGCTCAGATCAGAGGAATTCCTGTTTAATGTGTTTGAGGTCACGGAGAGGGCGGATTACTTTGCTTAGATTTGGACAGAATTTGGCTAGGTAGGTGATGGTCCCCAAGAACCGGCGGGTAGTTGCCTTGTGTTGAGGTTGAGGCATGTCCAGAACAGCTGTTGCTATCTCCTTGCTCGGCTTAAGTCCCTCGGGGGTGACACGTGGTCCATGAACGGTGCCTTTCATTTTTGAACTGGATCTTGTGTGGGTTAAGTTTGAGGTTATGCTGGGAGAGGCGAGCTTGCAAGTTAAGAATAGTGCGATCATGATCCTTGGTGATATATTCTAAACATTCACCCTAACCGATGACAATGATATCGTCAGCGATGTTCACAACGCCTTTCATTCCACCCAGGACATCATAGAGACGACGATGAACTTGTTCAGGAGCCGAACGGATGCCAAATGGAAGTGGAGTCCAACGATAACGGCCCCACGGGGTGTACATGGTGGTCAGCAAAGAAGATTCGAGTGTTAACTCAATGGTTTGAAACGCATCCTTGATGTCAAAGACAAAGAAGATCATCGCTTGATGGAAACGGTGGATGTTTTCCTCAAGGGAAGGTATGGAGTAAACAGGTCGGATGATGGCCTTATTGACTGTTTGTGAGGGGTGCAAGCAAATTCTTACTTTGTCGGGTTTGTTGGCAGTTGCCGTACGCTGATCACGTACAACCATATAAAATATCCATGGGGTAGGTTGATTTACTAGGACTAGTTGACCGATTTGGATGAGGTTGTCCAACGCCTCATTGGTAATGGGTAGTTTAGGTGTGGCGTAGCGGTGGGAAGGTGCTTGGGAGGGCCTCACATCAGGATTGAGTGTTACGGAAAAGGGTTCACTCAGTTTGCCCAAGCCCTAAAACAGTTCTGGATTAGCCTGTTTGATATGATCTAATGATAACTCACCAAATGGAAGTGTTTCTGCTTGAATGTCTTCCATCTGTTTAGCTGTATCCACATCATATATAACTTATGATGCCCGTTAGGGTGCTGTCAGCCAGGCCCAAGAGAGAGGGTTAGTAGCGCTGGGCAGCTAATACAGGGTGTCCCAAAAGTTCGTTCCTCTACTTTATCAGTCTGTATTTCAGTACAATTGGACTTGGTAAGCAAATCACTGAAACAAAAGTTGTCTTTCAATCTAATTCACTATTTTCATACTGATGGTGCCATCTTTTGACTCGAATATTCGATTTGTGTACTTCCGCGCCAAAGGTGCCCGTGCGCGAGTATATTATCCAGCCACATATTTTTTGTATTTCATAGCCGAATTGCTCGAATTCCTTCCTTGTTTTTTGTGAATATCAAGAAAGATAAACTCCCTTAACGCAAAAACGTTCACCTAGTACGCGAGAGCATAAGCATGTATACTTCAATTTACTGGCTTATCTGTTGTAGAAACTGCTTAAAAATGGGAGAAATGGAGAAATGGAGGTTTTGAAGGCAAGAAACGAAGGGGAAGACCAAAAGTCCTGAATAAAGCAGCTAAAATAGTTTTAAAGAAAGCTAGATACAAAATAGGAGACTCGACGAGGAAGCTCTCACATAGTTAGCAATCCAGAAAGGGTCATGAAAAGGTGTTTGAAATGTTTAAATTCAATGGCCGCTGAGATGGCAAAAAAAACCCTCTGCTTAGTCTGCCAAGTAACGCCCAGCTCGCCTCAAATTTGAAAAGAAGTACAAAAGCATTGCTGTGGAAGGGGACGGGGATGATTATCTTTTTTGGATGAATGCCCAAAATAAGTTTTTTTCAGCTGTCTAAACCAAACAAATATTGTTTGGCGGTTGAACTGGCTCCTGCGCACCAGGTGATAAAAAAGCTCAAAATGGATCATATGTGGGTCTACACGCTGTATCCCACTTATCCCGGTTACTGAAATTCTGAATACATGTTTTCGATAGAGAAATAAACACCTTGTAGAAATTTCACGTATAAATAAAGTTTTGATCAAAAGTTATAGTGCATGAAATTAGAGGAACGAACTTTTGGGGCACCCTGTATTTGGAGAACAAAGATTTTGGAGAACAAAGATTTTCCTCGGTGAGTGCACTGGAGTGTGGCTTGTCCTGTGGTTGGGATGACGGTCTTGGGTTAGTCAAGGAGGCGAACAGGAGACGGGTTCACCTGGACTGGGAGAAGATTGTTCAAATCTGTGACATGTGTAGTATTACAGGAGCATCTCGAGTCAACCTGGAATCTGAGGTGTTTGGGAGATGATGGTTTGGCAGAAGGAGGGCTAAGGGCAAGGTCAACAAAGATACCCTTTGGTGAAGACGAGACTTGGAATACATCATGTGTGATGAAGTAAGTGGGTTGAGACTCACTGGGGAAATTCTGTTCCACATCAGATACCGCATTTGCAGATGACGCCTTGCAAAGCTGTTGCCAGTGCCTACGTTTGCCACAAGCATGGCAGGTGCCATTGGATGCGGGGCAGTGTCGACGTGAGGGATGTACTGCACGTCCACACCAAATGCAAGTGGAGCGAGCACCTTCAGTCGGAGGGCAGGTCGGACGCCGAGGCAGACGAGGAGGTAATTTTGGTTTGCTCCCAGCGGGTGTCACCTTGTATACGCTCTCCTCAAGATGTTGCAGTGTGATGAGTCCTTTTGAATGCTGGCCTCATAACCGCGAGCTTTAGAAATAACTTGGGCAAACGTGAGCGAGTTTAAATCAAGTTCATGAGAGATGATATCACTGCGAAAACGTGGAAATGCATCGTTTAAGCCAACAACAAAGTTGTCGCTTTGCAATCTATTATCTTCTGCTGAAGGAAAATTGCACTTCTGTTATTCCAAACGCATGAGCGTGTGCCACGCTTCGATTGACATTTGAAGTTTGAAGTAGGCGGCTGCTGTCGACTTGGTTTGATTTCGCTCAACGAAGTATTCTTTGCAAAAATTTTTAGACGTTAAGAGTAATTTCTGGAGGCAAGCAGTCGGCGGATCCAGGGGAGGGGCCCTAGGGGCCCGGCTCCCCTTATTTTTACACCAAACTGAGGTCCGAAAGGCCGAAAAAATTTTTTGGAGACCGGGCCTTCCCCTTATCTCAAGGTTTGGATGACCGGGCCCCCTCCTTATCTCAAGCTGAGTCTGGATCTGGCACTAGCAAGTGTGCTGTTTCTGAGCGACAAGTATGCCTGAAAGTTAAGAAAAATGAAATTTGAGCGGAACACGTTCATCAAAAACAAATAAACGACTTACCTTTGGTGCGACAGTTTGCTTTAATGGCTGGCACCCTACAAAAGAAAATATTCTTTCGTCTCGTGTCATCGTTTAGATGCAATAAGAGAGAGTGACAAAACAAACATCATGATAATTTCTTAACCGGAAACCACTTAGAAAGCAAGATAGAAACCACAAATCGACTTTAGGAACCATTTCCCATCGTTTTCATCAAACTTACGCGGACAAAAGCTGTCGAAAGTCCCGGCCCCGGAGGGAAAAGCTCGTATATCCTGCGTAGCAAGCGTTTCCGTTTAGTTTCGGAGCAAAAAAACCCCCGAGGAACGGGATTTTCGGTTTTTCGCGCGGTCTTTTACTTTGTTCCTCGTTCTTTACTCCTAAACCGCACCGAAACGTTTGCTACGCAGGCTAAAGCTCGTATCGCGCAAAGTTTCTGGCGCGAGATGCTTGGTAACCTCTCGCATTATTTTCACGGGCGCAAAGCCCGCCGGGAATTGCACTCCATCTGAATTTTTGTTGTTTTGGGAAGTTGTGTGAGTCAATATCGGAAATTAAGTCAAGTTTTTTTCAGTGTTAACCTTTTATAAACCATTGACTTCGGGTGGGGAGCTATTGGCACTTATGCAGGAATAGATTCTGCCAAAAATGACGATGTAGGAGTGGGTCTAGCGTGGATAGGAGCTCCTGTTTCGCCTTACACTTTGTTGTCATGGACGTGCTGTGTGGTTCAACTCCGAATGGAGTGGGATTTTGTAGTTCACTCTCCAGGTCGAGATGACGAACAGGGCCTATCCTCTTGAAATGTAAGTGTTTATATGTCTGTGTGCTTTTCATCGAAGCTTAGTTTTTCGATCGAAATATTCCGAATTTCGTCGCGATTGTGTACCCTGCAGGGTAATAGAATCCAGATCCGTACCGTGAAAAAATCAAATTAAGCTTATTGATACTACTTAGATCAGACGTAAACCGAGTTAATATTGTATAGGTTTAAGGTTTATCTGCCGTTATACTGAAGCAAGTAACTCTCTGTAGGTATTGTTGTAGAAATAATAATTCAGGAATTTATTAAGGAAGTCAATACAGTCTAGCATAATCTGCAGCTAGCAGATGATGAAATCGATCTTTCCAAAACTTAGAGCAAAATCGAATATTTCATTTGAATTGCTACAACTTGATATAGCTTGTCAAAACAGAATAATTCAGATTCAAATTTAGAATTTAGGAACTGCAAAGTTCAGTTGATTTGTTCCAAGATGGAACCGAAAATTACATTTCCACCCGTAGACTCATTTCAAAGTGTTGACTTTTTTTTTTACTTTTAGTACACTCACACCAATTTTTACGCTGATGCATTTAATAAATCTTATAACACAACTCTAAATTAAGGGCACTTTCTTAAGCTTATAAGGTTAAATAAGCCCTTATAGATACATCTGATTATTATTAATATTATTGCTATGTACATTTTTGGCATTATACCTGTATAATATGTAACATATGGAAGTTATTAATCATGTTAGTTGAAAACAACAATGTCCTCAACTGCCTTGAACATCAAGATGGCAAAGGAGGAGTACCTATTATGAATCACACTGACCTTTTTTTAGGCCATGAGGCGTCACAGGGGAAAATATTAGCCATTATGAACGTCTGTGTGGGAGACTATAAGTATTAGTTAACCTGGCAAAATCTCAACCTTTGAATGAATCAACTGTAATAAATGTTTTCAGGGTCCTTTCTGGGTAGGATCGTGCAGTAACGGTTAATTGAATGACCTTAATTGTACAAAAGGGTTCTCTGAAATCTGGTGTTGTTGAAATAATATAATATTGACCAGTATTCACTGATCCGAGAATAGAGGTCATAATATGATTTTGACAAGAGGCCAGATGAGCTTAAAAAATGAGAAAATGACTGCTTCTAGTTTCAAATAATAGTCACTAATCATGGAATCCAGAAGGAAGATCATGCATGATGCATTATGAAAATAGTAAATCATGCCTCACCTGCTTAGTTTGGACCAATTCATGCATCACGGAAAACCCCTTTGCTCCCAAAATATTAATGCCCAAATGCTTGTATGCCATTTGCATTTCTTTATTATTTTTGAACGATATTTTGCAATTCACTCGTGAAAGTAAGGTTGTATTAGGTCAGTGATAGGAAACATGAAATGATTACAAAACAAATCAAATAGAAATTATGATCCCTGTTTTAACTTGATAGAACTGTATATGTGACATTTTGTTAACTCTCTTGCTTTGAAGAGAGTAAATTGCTTATTTACCAGCACTACATGTAGCAGCTCTTGTGATGCACCTATCTTTTTACAAGTAGAAAACACAGTCTGCATGTTTACAACTTACTAGAATTTTTATTTCTCATAAGGCCAGGGTTTGAGCCAGAGTGCGAACTTGCAACATTCTTCCCCTTGCAGGATGATTTGTCCCTTAATAAAGTCAAAACTAAATGGAAGAAGTTTATGCAAATTCGTACCGATCAGATAACCAGGATGGAGTAATGGTTGAATGATCACAAAATTGCATAAAAACTGCCCTCGGTAACAGTCTAAGTACTTTTCGTCTAAATGTGCTGATGACAATTGACATTGAACCGGCCCTCCCTTAAGAAAGTTTGACTTTAATGTGGCTAATACAAGGAATATTTATGCTTTACAGTCAAACCAGGTCAAGCGTACCCCCCAAGAATACATTAATGAATTTATTATTCAAAAGTTGAATCCGTTGCTAGATGTAGATTTCAGATTGATCTCTGCTTTCTTGCATGTGTAATGAGCCGTGAATTCACACGCGAGGCAGTTATGAAATTTCTACCAGCTCCATTTTCCTGAAATTGATGTAAATGTCTTCTAAGAAGCTTAATCCATTCAAAGATTTCCAATCTGACCAAATACAGAGAAGTTCTCGTAAAATATTCACTGCTCATTACGCATGCAGAAATGCCGCTTTGAATTTGACACCAGGTACGGGAACGACTAACGGATTCATTTTTCAAATAATCAATTCATTAATAGAATCTTGAGGGGTACGCTTGACTTGGTTTGACTGTAAAAACTCTTTATGCTACAAACAGTTCACTTAGCAGTGTAAAGGAAAAGATGGAATCAAATTGTTTTATCCTAACTATCTTATTTAGTGTCTGCTATAAATTTGAGAACATGTTAAAAGTTTACATTTACTTAAATGGTGCATTAGACAGCAAGTTTGGTCACTGTTGGAGAATGAAAGTAGTAGACTCAGGGTAAATTTACAAACTGTAAAACTGAAATTAAATTAACAATTACCATTCCTGCTATATACATTTTTGTATGCTTAAATAAAGCAGCCATAGCATTGGAGTAAAATTGTTTTCTTTTTTTCTTGGGCAACAGAAAAATGCTTTATTGGATAGGAGAAAGGCAATGTAATAGAATATGTTCTGTCCCCTGCTGTTGCCTATTTGTCCCTTTGCAGGGCCACAGAGAGACAAATTGTCTCCTGAGGCAGTGAACATGGCTCAAACCCTGATAAGGCACAAGTAGTTTATGACCAATAGGACGAACAACTGCAGTCTTTCAGAAGCATTTCTTAAACAGCTTACCAAATAGAAAGATGGAAATGACCACTAAAACATGCCAATGATGGCTCCTTTTATTTTTCTTCTTCCTATACTAGCACATATACATGAGGTAAATCCCATTATTATCTGTTCAAAATATTTCACTGTTTCTATATAGGAGGCTGTTATGCACCTCGCCCTTCATTGCCCTCAGTGGATAACACTCTCCTTGATCTGCATAAATACTGGGAAAGGTGAATGAGTGAAAGAAGCTTCAAAGTTCAATGACTCTCTCGAGTAATAGATAAGAAAGTGATGATTTTTTGTTCCTCATTTCTTCTTTATTTCAATTTTTACCAGTCGCGGATTTGCTCACAGTAGTGTAGATGCACTCCGCCCTCTCCCTGAGAGACCAGAGGAATCACTGCCCCTGTCCTACATTGAGACAGTTCAGAGTGCTATCAGTAACTTCACACCTGACACCAGCGGCCAATCATCCCCTACCACTGACAATACCCCTAGTATAGTCAATGGACTGTCAGAATCGAATACGTGGTCAACTCATACTGGAATCCTCACTGGCCGGAGTACTTGTAGCGTGAATTCCTGGGGTAATGAAGATGTGAGTGAAGGCTTAAGTTTTGTATTAGGCTCTCTTCTTGGTTTTGTAATCAATATAATTATTTATTATATAGACATAAGTGTTTTACTGGAAAAATACCGCTCGTAAAATTCATAAAAACTACATCTGGGACCTGAGTGGTTTACTTTCCATAATCTCACGCATGAGTTTATTGATGACGTGGTTTCGGTAATTTCCCTCTATTATTTTATCAATGTCTTTTTGTCTATATAATAAAAACAACTTTACACGGCGGCTTGAAGATATGATGTTTATTTTCTCATGGCAAAAACAATATTTTACTCACTCGCTGCTCTCATTCATAAAATATTGTTTTGCCACTCACACCACCATGTAAAATCCTCTATATACTCTTTGGATTGAATGGTGCATGTTGCGGTTACAGGTCAAAATAATATTATATTCAGGTGAAATTTTTTTAACCAAGATTTATTCTCAATTTCCTTTGTTTCTTAGTCTTAATTCATGAATAATGAGGGCTAGGAGACAAAGGAAATAGAGAATAAACTTAGGTTAAGAAATTATAACCTGAATTTAATTTTGACCTATAACCTGTACAGTGTACATGCATGATCAATATCAAGGCAGTGCTCTAGCAGTATCTGGTGGCACCAGGTGCCATACTTTTGGCCTTGGCAACGAGGAAGTCGTAGTTCTTTTCATAGAAATCATATGCTGGGCATCCTGGATTTCACAGGCTCAGAGCACTAGGCTCTCTTTAATATAGTATTGCCCCTGTTTATGTTTGTATTATTTGTATTTTATTTATTTTCTCCATTTAGGTTATTTTACAAGCCATTTATATTATATTACACTAGAGATTTGAATATATTATTCATAAGATTTAAATATCGGATTACAAGAATAAATGGAGAAGGGAAAGATATAGTGAAACTAATTACATGCCCCTTGATTACATTACAGTTTAATTTATTTAGGATAAAAGAGATAAAAAGAGAAGTATATTAAGTATGAAATATAAATTGTAAGAGAGAGGAAAAAGGAAAGTACACAAAAATGTAGAACACTCGAGAGTCGGTGTGATGATGCTTAATACTAAGCAAGGTACTACTACTATAATAGTAGTTTGTTTGTATAGTGTTCTTTTAAACAATATTTGAGTTGTCTTTTCCCGTATGTTTGTATTTTGATGAGTTCATGTGAATTATGTCTATAGGAATTTGACCGTCAAGCTTCAGCAACAGTTAAACGCATGTTTGATGAGATTGACGGAATGCTTTTTGAAGGGATTCCTTTCAATGGTAAGTCGTGGTACTTTTAAAGTGAAGTCCTTGACAAAACCCAGTTTAAACTCTTTGCTTACAAAACTCATCCCTTTACAGTGCTCAAAGCTTGTTGTTTTCAAACTCACCTTTTGGTGACCTAGAAGTTTGAAATGGTCACCAGATGTAAAATATTGGTTTGTACAATGCAATGTGAAGGGTTTGAAAAATCAAAATGGTACCTGACTTTTGCAAGTTTAATTCTGTAGTGGATGTTACATCTTAAGGCTTTACCCGGACAACCATTAGGGTAAAAGAGAAGAAACATAAAGAAAATAGAGCGTAAATAATATTTCAGATAGTGGGGATGGCTTAAGGAAAGTGAGAAGGAAAAAATATCAAAGGTATGAGGGTAGATGTAGGGAGAGAGGGCAAAAGAATGGCCGGGCTCCCCAACTCCTCGCCCTCTCTCCTCCTCTCTTCCACTTTTTTTCTCCACTGTTGATTTTGTGCCTCTCTCCTCTACAGTGTAACCTCAATATGACGAAGGGCCAAGGGACTGGCAAAATTTGTTAAGCTATAATGAGGTTTCATTCTATTGAGGTTATTTTTCATAATTTATAGTTTACTATTACTGGGTAAAGAAAATTGTTTGTTGTACCGAGGACTTTGTTATATAGGGGTTGGTTATATTGAGGTTCGACTGTACATGTATATGAATGCCTGAAAATTGCCAGTTTACAAGTTCATGTATTAACAGAACATGACTGTAACTTTTAGCCTAATACACAGATTTTGTTTCTCTTAATTTGCTCATTAGGAAGCACTCAACTGTTGTCTGAATGTGAAGAGTGGTTTACACAATTTCCACATTTACGGTAAGTGCAATTTATAAGTTTTCAAAATTTTTGCTGGTTGCCATAGAGAGAAAAAAGGAGACAGCTTCAACCACTGGTTAAGGGTATGCAAATTGCAAGCAGCATTTAGCATGTTTCCAGATTTCACTTCATTGCAGGCACTCCTTCACAATTAACATTACTGCTTGATAGTCATTGTAAAGCTGCTTTGCAATGTGATTTTTATTTAATTTTACAGTAATCCATAGCAATATGTAGCTTGGCATATAAGTTGTTTGTGAGTATAAGAGTGACTTGTTAATTGCCTTCTTAGGAAGTCATTCACCTTCTTAGTTTGTCATTTGCCTTTATAACATAGCTAGAATATTCACCTACACTTTAATCAAATTCAATTGTGCGAGCGTGCTTTATGTTCCCGTTGAGCATGCGGTGAGCTTAGTAATCCTCCCAAGTGCATCCATAACTAAAAAGTACACAGTGGTGCATTTGCCTTTTGTTTTATAATGTAATCTTAGAGAGGCACTTTTGAATTTGTTAACAGAAGGTAGGTGAGTGAGTAGAGTGTTGTTTTTGTCATCTGCACGAGCTTTTGCCTAAATCACTCTTTGCAAAATTTTTTCATTCAAAAATGACTCATCAACCATGCAATTGTTAATTTGAGTTGTTCCTTTATTATGATTATGGTTTCTTTGCTCTTCCTTCAGGATCTGTGGCCATCAACTTCTTAACACCAAAGATGATGGGACAAAGCTGATACCAGTTGCAGCAGAAGACTCAGGAATGTACAATCAGCGACCACAGACATCTGTGTTGGAAGATGTGGAGGAATTTGGAGCTTTTGATTCACAAGGGTATGTTCCTAAGTCAGCCGAGGAAAACACCACATTATTTATATATTGAATTCATTGTCTTTCCATTCAGACTCAAAAGTGAGAATTTCATTGTCTTTAGAAATACATGTAATCTATGCTACAGTTTAGTGATTGCCATGTCTATAAAGACAGACAATCATCAATTAAATTGAAGTAAAGTAATGTGACTGTTTGCAAAGTGATGCCCAGTTCTACCGGTTTTTACCTTATACTTTTGGTTTACTTTTTTAGCTTATTCATTGAGGGATTTCATCTTGATCCCTTACCAGAACCTCTTGGATCTTATATGAGTGGTAAGAACTATTGTTTATCAAACAAGAAGGAGTCTGTTTTATTAATGCCATGTATTTTTATTGCCCTAGATGACAAAATGTTTTTCAAAATAACCTCAATTTACACTACAGCTAAAACGAAAAAACAAGACAAATAAAAAAATAAAATAAAAATAAATAAATAAATAGAGCCTCCTTTTGTCTACTGAATTGCAGTGCAGAAAAGGAGGCTGTGCCTGAATCACTTCAAGCTTTTGAAGTCGCTGCAGCTTGAACTTGTTTCCTTTTGTCAAAGTGGTTTTTAGAGCACGATACATACATTGTACATGTCACGAGAAGCCTGAAACCCAAAAATTGATGGCGAAGCATGTGTTGAACGCTTTATAATAAGAAATGAGAAGGGAGACAAAAAGAATCATCAAAATATCTGTCTGTGCGTGTGTATTAAACTGTCGCTATTTGTAATAACTTGCCATGTATAATGTAATAAATAGCTTAACATAGAAGATTGTAATTTTAAATTACCGGTATTTGGAAAACAGTCGATGTACCAGTTGGTATAAGACCCTAAATAAAATATTGTCTTGTCTCTTTTCTCTTGTCTGGTACATGAGAAAGCAAAAGGAAAGTGCCGTCGGTTAAACTGGTTTGAAAAATTGTGGACTATTTAGTATGGAAAATTTGGACCACAGCAGAATATTGTTGATACAGTAACTTTACTGAGAGTAAAAAGGTCTGTAATCTTATTTCTTTTTTCTGCAAGGCTAATATTTTGCCTTTTTGTTAAATTTTATTCAATGTAGATGATGAATTGAATGGCTTTTATGCAGAATTTGAAGAGGAAGTTCTGGCAGAGGATGGTGAAGTAGAAGAGTATTTTGGTTATGATCTACCTGCTGTGTGAGTTGACTTTAAGCTATGGCTTATTGATTTTACAGTCAACATCATACATCAAGCTGTGTTTTTCAGAGTGTTCTGCTATCTGATTTGATGCACCGATACCATTGTTATTAATAACAGTTGCACCCGTGGGCATACAAATTACCCTCCTGTTGTGCCTCAGTGTTCCCTTCAAAGGAGAACAACATCCATAAGTTACTATTTACAATATAAACTGTATTACCAATATAATTCTTTTGCAGATTATACTACTCAGGGATGTAACACTTAATTTTTATCAAAGCTAGTCTGTAGAATTTCAAACTTTAAGAGATAGAGTTAGTTCTCCGTGAAATAATGGTGCAATGTACTTTGTACTTTGCAGAGAGGAAGAGGGGTCAGAGTCAAATGCAGGAAACAGATATCGTCGTCAGCTGAGGAGAGGTTACCCTCCTCTTACACCAAATGCCTGTGCCAAGGATGCTGTTGTCAGTCAGTTGTTTGATCAGGCCTGGGGAGAGGTAAGCTGGCAAAAGTTATTTCACCTCAAAGTTCGTTCTAGAATCGAGCGGAGTTTTTTTAGTATTAATTTATTTGTGCCTCTCACACAGAGTCAGCAGGGAATGGTACAACTTATATGCTTGTTTAATTTTTTTAAAGGGGCCGTTATTCTATTTTTCCTTTTTTTTGTCACGTTTTAATGTTATGCCTGCAAAAATCAGCCAAAAAACTATTATAGCTATTGTTCCCTAATGAAATTGTCTGATATCTTCTTCATTCAGTGTATGTATCTCTACAGGAGCATTTTGTGTAACTTAGAGTAAATGCACTCAGTATTAAATGACTTCAGGGCAGAATTGACCTCAAACATTAATATCCTCATGACGCTGTACATGACTGTAGCCTCTTTACACCTAAATGTGACCTTACTAAAATGCCTGCATTTTCTTCTTTCAGGTTGTTTTATGGCTGAGAGATTTGTTAAGCCTGTACTCTCAAAAAGTCCTGAGAGGTATAATCATCATGTGAAAAAGTAACAACAATAATTAACTTAGTCTGAAGAATTTTGCCTTTTCTTTCATGCTTTACAATGTTGAGACCTTGCACCACACAAGGTAACTCAGCTTACAGCTGTGCATGTATTTCTTCAATAGCCATCCATTATTCACATGTTTGAATTGACTGTGAAAACCATCAGAAGCATCAGTCATTAATCCGTTTAGGATACCTTCCATTTAGGATACCTTCCATTGAAATGAATTCATTTATTAGCCCTTTTAGGTCTTTTTACGGATGGAAAGACAGATTTCCCTACCCTTTTATATGCTTCAACTGGTGAAATTCCTACCTTCATATACCTGAAGCCTGAAAAAGATAGCCCTTTCGGGCAAACCTCCACCTGTGTAGGCCATTATAGGGAGTACGCATACACTGTTTTGAAATAAAACTCAGTGCTTTAAGATTTTGATTGAATGATTTTTACCTTTTACGCTTTTCTTTCTTTTTTTGTGAATGTAGGTTTCTGCATTTTTTATTCCTTTGTGTATTGTTTCAAAAAACATATACCTAAAACTAAAAGTAGTGTACATGGTAGCTGCTGTTTAAACTATAAAATAAAAGTATTATGCTCTTTTTCTGGAATTTCAGATAAACCCCAGTTCCTTGCTGATGTTGTGGGATCTTCTGACAGAGTTGAAAGCCCTCCAAGACCATTTTCCCAAAGTATTATGTCTAGGAATCCTTTTCCATCCCAGGTAAATTCTTTTTTTCTTTTGGTATTTCCTATATTGTTATTCTTACTAGAATACATGTTTTCAATGTATTCCACTTTACGTGGACCCAGTTGGCTATTTTCAACCTCAGACTCAACAGCAACTATTTGGGAAGGAATATTCGTGGTCAAAATAATGAGAGAGAGCCGTCACCTGAAACTCACGGATACTGAACAGGTTCCAGAGGCATTTGAATGCCCTGCCTTCTTCTGATTAACCAATCAAATGTGGGGAATTTAAACTGTAAATGCTTTGCCTTACAAAGATTCTACTGGGTTTTTGAAGAGGGACTGTTTAAAGGTTTAATAATGCAATGCCTGGCAACTTAATGGTTGCACTAATACATGTAGGTACAGTACGAGTAGTTTGTTGGTTGTTAATAATAATAATAATAGTAATAATAATAATAATAATAATAATAATAAAAATAATAATAATATATAATAATAATAATATAAACATTGCAACATTATTGTTTTTTTTCCTCAGACAAGACTAAGAACTCTCTCAAGCTTTAACGCTCCACTGGATCCAAGTACTTTAATCAATGCTATAAAAATCCAGTCCTTGCCTTTGAACCACAGAGCTCCTTCAGCCACTACCTCTCAGTAAGTGTGTGATAGTTCCATGGCTGTATATAACAATTACTCACTGAAGTGGAGGTGGCTAAAAACTTTTTCACCGGTTTCATCGATAAATTCTAGTCAAACAGACAAATCGTTACCTGTTAAAACTCCCAAACCAAATTTCGTCACCTTCTTCGTGTATTTGAGCAAACCAGGAAGCCATTTTGCTTGTAACGCAGGCGAGTTCGGCATGGCTCTCTCGGAGGAGCTGTAGGTGCATCGGTGAATAGCACTGGAGATCCCGAGTTTGAGTAGCCAATCACAGCGAGCGAAAAACACTATCCACTGTTTTAGTACATACTACAGTATATCATTCTAAATAAACACTAGTGTAAATCTGCATGTACGCTGTAAAGTGTGTGTGTAATTTCAGTACATAAACTGTCGCCATTGATACAGTCAGTACTAACTAAAGATTTGATTTCATCTTGTAGTGTTCTTGACAGCCGAGAAGGGACTCCCTTTAATCAGGTTAGTCTAAAAAAAAAAGAAAGAAAACAAGAACAGTTGCCTGCAAGCTATTCTAATTAAGATTCTTGTTTGCACCTAGACAAACCACCTAGACTTTAGCCCTGTCAAAATGCTTCACAATAGTAGTAGAGGAGCGTGCGGCAAAGCTCTAAACTTCTGTTGTTTTAAACCTAAATCCTGACTAGGACGCAAATATTTCACTGAAAGCGGCACAATTGCTGGCTGCCTGCTCATTTTGACTGAGCTGTATTGATTTTTTTTTCAGGGTCGCCCTGGTTCCAGCAGCACAGTAGCTTCACGTTCAACAGCACGGATTGGTGGCCACAGCTCAGACCCATTTATGCATAGAATACCACAGTTCAAGAGAAGGTAATCATCCACCCACCACCCCGCTATTTTCTTGAAATGGTGCTTTTTAAGACACATTGAAATTCCCTTGTTTTCACAACGGTGCGACATACAAGGTGGCAATGATTTTTTCTCTCGCCTGAAGAGACGAAAAAAGGCGGCGTTTTTTGTTCAAACTGACCACTTTCCTTGTATTTCTTACGAGATCGGGTAATTTGAAATCACTTTAATTTAAAATCAAAGCCCTGACATACAAAGGGCCTCTAGGTTTTTAGTAAAATTCATGGTTTCTGCTACATGATAAGAATTTTTAAGGTTGCGCAAGTTTCAATCATTTCGCGCAACTAGGAAAAAGCTCTTACAATTTAGGGGACGCAGGGTAAAAGCAAGCACCGTGACCCCGTCTTTTTATTGCGGTTTTTCAATGTCCTATAACAAACAATTGGCTGTCAATTGTGCCAAGTTTAAAAAACATCTGTATATCCTTTTCAGGGGAAATTGCCTTAATGTAGGGGTCTTGAAATAAGGTTATAAGCAACTAACGAAAACAAAGGCTTGACTGCTCTCAAAACTATCAAAAAGCTGTCACACTGTACCGCGCAAAACTCTTGCAGTTTCATTCAACCTAAGAACATTTCTTTTATGAACCTTTAGTTCCATCAAGACAAAGTATATTTAGTTGAGAGAAAGAAAAATGTCTTTGTAACTTGTGTAATTGCTTATTATGAATTTTTAGAAATTTACCAAGTATCCTACGTTTGACTCACATGGAGAGTAGTAAACCTAAAACACCCAATGTACAGGTATGCTCGATAATATTTAACATATAATACAACTATACATAAGGGAGCTTGTGCTGAGTATGCAGAGCTATACGCTATTGTATAGGTACAGGTTTTGATCAGTCATCGTACACATTGCGGATCTTGTTTTAAAAAGGAGCTGTGACACGAAATTTATCAAAATTCTAGCCTGCGAGCAAGCTCGCCGAGGCGCTCTGGCGGCGGGGCGGGAAAAGGAAGGAGAGCTTGCAAATTTTACGTCCCTGGAATTTGAATGGCTGCATCGAAAAAGTCGATGCGAAATGCTGATTGGCGGAGATGACATTAGTAATTACGTCATTTGCCCTTGCCGCGTGCTTTTCACGTGTTTTTCAATGTTTACATTAGCGCTTGTTTCCGCTTCGCGCTGATTGGCGGAAATCCGACAGCTCAGTCAACGGGGAACCACGGTGGAATTGGGGGTGAAATTAAAATTTCAGAGACGAAGTTGCATTGACCCTAAGCTGTGATTTAGTGCCTGTTTACATGGAGTGGGGGACCCCGGTCTAGTGGGGTTGGTTTCTTTTGTTTTCACGCTCTGGGGGACACAAAACAAAAGAAACCTACCCCACTAGACCGGGGTCCCCCACTCCATGTAAACAGGGTCTTAGTCACTAGCAAGTTATTTCACAAGTTCCATAATGAATAAAAATGCTTAACTGGTATTTTTACGAAATGAACTAGACAGCCGTGACACAGCCGTGACACAGCCGTGACACAGCCGTAACACGGCCGTAACACAGCCGTGACACAGTCCCTTTACAGTGCTTAAATTTGTTGGTTTGGAGCTTCAAAATTCATACTTTTGTCTTGACAAAATCATCGCCTATAACAAGCAAAAGTGATGACGCGTTTATACCTTTTCTTTTTACAGGATGATGTTATGGGAAATTTTGTTCAAGGAAAGAAACTATTGTGAGTCTTCTGACTGTGAAAGCTTTAATAATTCTTGTTGATGTGGAAGAGTAATTCTTAATTATCTAAATTTGTCAAGATTTTTTATTACCTGGGACAGTTGTTTCTTGGTGTAACAGAACTGTTGTTGGTTAGATATCGGCGACTCAATTTTTTTTTGTACATTTTTACATTTTTGGTTTCATTTTTTACTTTTTTGTCCCATGTAGATTTCCCGAAAAAGAAAGACTCTCATCACCACCGCATCCAAGTTCCAGCTCACCGGCACCTTACAATGTAATGTAAGTATCACGAGTGCCAGCGGGAAATTTTTGTCTTAGTTTTCGGGGGGAAAGAAATTGAATGAAACTATAGTTGTTCTTTTCAGCGAATGATTCTTTATTTTGTTAACATTTTTGTGATCATTTTGTTCCTCAACTCCTGACTTACTGAATAAGTAAGAAAACACCTTGAACATTATTTGTGAAGGATTGACTGTCGCCTTTCAACGCTGATAACGAAACTATAACCAGTTTGAGGTTATAGTATGGCTGAATCCAGTTAATGTAACCGAATATAAGACCAATTCCCTCCGCTGCTCGATGGAAAAATGTCCGAAAAAGATCACATTTTTGACTATCGTTGTGAACAATTTAAGGTAGATTTACTTAAAAAAGGTAAAGGCGCACACGAGGCCCAAACGACTGGAGGTTAACCCAGTTTCCTTAGCATGATGCATGCCTAGGAGAATTGCTAGTCCCCCTAGACGGGATGCTAGTCCATCGCAGGGTTACCCGTCAGAAGAATGACGTCGGTACCCATTTATTCACCTGGGTAAAGAGAGAGAAAGAGGAGTAAATTTCCTTGTCTAACAAGGAAACAACGCGACGGGCGAGGCTTTCACCCCAGACCTCCAAATCCGGATTTCGAGGTAGCAACCTCTCGGCCACACACTCCTGAGCAAACTGAAAAAACTTCAAATGGACAGATGGTCTTGCACTGTATGGACTAGTTAACGCGAACGACGCACAAGAATATTCACATGTGAACTACCTCAACGCAAAAGCAAGCTCAAGTGCCGAATTCCACTTTTTGCCGTGGTGCTTACGCTTGCGTTTGTTTTTGCGTTCACTTTTCTTACTTGTGAACCGAGAAAACGCTAATACAATCGTCAGGAGTTTAAAATTAATTGGCCTGTCGATTATGAAGCCGTCAACTAACAGTGCTATTCTCTTCTATTTGCTAGGGGCAAAATAATTCTTCCGCCCCTAGATCGGTTTACAGCAAGGGAAGCAACGGCTCCGCAAAATGGAGGAAGAAATAGCGCGGTAAGGAGAACTTACTTGTTGATCAGATTATTTCAGCAAAGATATGTGCAAGTATAGAATACGAGTAGTTCATCTTATGTCTTACAATTGCTGTTCACAGAAACATGTCTCTTATGATCGGGCGTCAAGTGCAGCGACGGACCGTTCGAGGTGGGTAACGAAAGTTATGTTCCCTTTTATGTAGTCTGAATTTAGACCAAGCAGTTAGACAGTGAAACAAGATTTATCATTCTCTTTCTGAACTGTGCTGTAATATCTCTTGCTGCATACGGAAAACTCTGCTTCACAAGAGGTGTTATTATACATTGTACTCACCATCTGTCTTCTCATTGGCTAAGAGCTTTCAGCTTATTTTAGAAATCAGCGCAATGCATGATTTCCAGTAACAATATCAATTTAGGTTCCGTGCAACGGTGTGTTTGTCGTTATTTTCTTCAAAACAATGTATAATAAAACAATTATTAGATTCGTTTTTTGTGATATCCTAAATAATCAAGATTACGGCAAGTGTTATCAGCCTCGGGCTTCGACTCGGCAGATAACACTTACCTGGACCTTGATAATGATTAGTCCGAATATCACCAAAACCTCATCCAATAATTGTTTATTATTTAGCGAGCTATACAGCCAGACAAAAACGCTCTTGGTATGCTAAAATACCGTAAAATTCCGAAAATTAGCTTCGGGGCTTATATTTTTCAAAGGCCCTTTTTGAGGGGCTCATATTCGGAGGGGCTTATCTATGGAGCGAAATCTGCGTTTCAAAACGATTAGGCTAGCCTTACAGTTGGAAGGAAATTTACCGTTTTTGCTTTGTTTTACTTTGTATTCGAGGACAATTTCCAAGTACAAGTCCCTGGGGGGCTTATATTTGGAGGGGCGATGTAACAGAGGGTTTTTTGCGTTACGAGCTTGGGGGGCTTATATTTGGAGGGGCTTATACATGGAGGGGCTTATTTTCGGAATTTACGGTAGCACCTGTAATGTGGGCCTGGAAGGTCTTAGTGGAGGTTCAGCCAGGGCTGGGATGTAATTCAGTTCTCGGTAGACTAAGGTCTCTGGGTGTGGCGACGCGCGGGGGTTGGGGTGTTGGGTAGGAAGGGTCGGGAATTGAAAATGAAGACACTAAGGGCATATGAAAAACTTTACAAATGTTGGTTGTTTATGTTATACTTATTTAACAGGACTTTGTTTAAATTAGCCTAATGCTAAAGCAGATGTTCCTGTCTAAATAGATAAATAAATAAATGAATTAATAAATTAATTAATTTAAAAACTCTTTGTAGACATGAAAATGTTTCTAGGGTCATTTCGGTTATGCTATTATAATTTTGCTTCTTTATCTTTTAGACAATCACTAAAGGAGAGAAATAGAAATTTTGCAGGATCTCCGACGAGACCTAATACCACTTCCACCGCTTCTCATTCATTAAAGGTAAGTCCGTATATCAAGCTAAGTTATTTATTGGTTGGCTGTTTGGTTGATTGATTGGCGTGTTTCACGGCAGACAGCAAGCAAAAGGGAACAGTGATCAAAATATTTTGCTTCTTTACTCTCCACCAACTATACTGGAGACTATTTTCGGCATTGTGCAATTAGTTTTAAAGGCGTTTTCTTGCTATTTGAATTTATACGTCACGTGGAATAAAAAGGTTTCTCCACGTCGCTCGTGCACCTTTCGCTTCACTTAATCACTTAATGCGTTCACTGCAAACCCAGGGTCAGTCAAGGTGGATTGTAACATTGTTAAATCTACCAACAAAATCCGCCACTGTAGCTTTGCAGTTTCTATTTTGATGGTGGCAGTGTTTTACTGTCCGATACTGAGCCAGGGTCTAGTAGATTTTGTTATCGGGCTAGTGAATGCTGTTCTTAACCTGCCCGATGGGCTATTGAAGCTTTTTTTTTTTTTTTTTGGTGGGGGAAAGGGGGGATTCAAATGCAGAAAAACCGTATTCGATCCTGTTCATCAAAAATTTTCTTCCGGCTATTTGAAATGACTTTTGGCATAGTACGTACTAGCTCCAGCTTGCCGGAATGGTAAGCTGTAAAACTGACTTTCGTTGCACCCTGTAGCCAGTAGGGGTGGATGGTGGTCATGGAAGGTGGTTCTGTGGACGAAATCCTACGGTGTGACAATCCAAATGAAATGTGGAATTTTTGTCTATTTTTTGCGCTGGCCACCTGTGAAGTGAAACAGTTAAGGTTTGTTGAATTCTCCTCAATTTTGATGTCGGTGCCATATTTGTTTTTGTTTGTTTCTCCTGTAGGGTGACCCACCACATCGACGCCTGTCCACCCCGATGGAAACTCATTCAAATCAGGGAGGTGTTTATTCAAGAGGCCATACAAGACACTCTAACATTCCGCTGACTGGAATAACCGGCGTGAGCATGCAAATCGGTAATCACCCAGCCAACGAGACGAATACGTCATCACACAGTCACCATTTTGATGGTCGGGGAATCTCGCCCGTGAGTGATGAGGAATATGACGGCTTTAGGAGTAAGTTTTGACTTGTTATGTTAATGCCAGCGGTATGTCAAGGCGTTCCGATCAACAAATTATATTGAGCAAAAGGCGTTCATTTGGATTCTAATGGGGCGAGTTGACTTTGATCTTTTAACAAATTCTCTCAAGCAGTCTTTCAAGAAATGTACGGAGGCCAGTGTGGAAAATTTGTGTGTTAATCTTGGGGGCTGAGGCTCCCTAGGTGGCCACCCATCATTTTAATAAAAGGAGTAGTAACTTTCTTTCAAGATGCTCCTAAACCCCCCGATTTTATTTCAAAATTTAAGTTTCTACAACATAAACAACCAATCGGTAAGGTGTGACAGTAATCTCACGGCAGGTTCTATTTCAGAGGACTGACCTTAACATTGATAAAAAAATTCCAACGGGCAAATGCGACGACTATACGCGTGTGATACAATTGAATCCAACAACAGATGGTACACTGTACCTTGCCTTTGATCGCTTCGCTTTCGTAGCATGCGGCGAAACCAGCTGCTGTCTTTCGTGGTTACAGTGTATGTGATTTTTTCTGTGTGTATTTTCAGGTCCCGGGCCTTCAAATCAACCCTCACAGAGACGAAACAAGTTAGTGTCTACCATTAGATAGCAGTTATTTTAATTAAAAGCATCAAAGGCCCGCACTTAAACCATAGTGACCACTACTTAAAAATTGTTCCATTTTTTTGGAAGATGTCTAGTGATCGTTGATCGTAATATATTTTGTGCTATAATGTTAATATTTTTTAAAGTAACCGGAAGAGCTTCCCTTGGGAAATATTGTCAGTTATTCAGCATCAGTCGTACAACGTCGTTTGTAATCCCTCGGTCAACCTCAAAGTTAACACTATATAGGCCAGGCCAGGCCTGAGAGTGGATTTCTTAAAGCCCTGAAAACCTAGATTCTGGGTCATAACAGATCGTTATTTTTCTGTGCAAAGAATTGAGAACAAAGGTACATGTTTGCCTAATGGAGCAAATTCAGTGAACTAGTAGCTGATGGAATTAAGTAGATTTTGGACCCAAAATGGGAGCTTTAGGTAACGCAAACGATAGGCCATAATCTCTATCTAGTTTCATTTAGGGTTCTGCTGAAGAAAAAGGGAATAATATTGGGGCAAATTGTATATAATTTTATATAGATACAAAGTTGATTACAACTAATTAAAAGTAATCTAATTAGTATAACCGCGATGAAACAAGGAAAGCGCTCTTTTTTCCCGAGCAGTGGAGTATAGCTGTCCTTTGGACGCTCAGTATTTTCAGTGACTTTCTACTAGCAATTTAATTTGAGTTCAGTCTGTGCGCCCCAAAAAATGACGTGTAATATCAAAACATACCGACTCCTTTAAAAGCAGTGTAACGCTCATATTCACGTTGCGTTTGTCTGCCTTTTCTTATGTAGTGGACGGTATTAGCTGTTATAAACCAGTACTTATTCTTATTGGAACCGTTTTGGATAACAGTGCAGTACCCTGGGCGGGGCAAAGGAAAATGGTTTTAGGGATTGTTTTTCTATTTGGCGGATCTAAATCTCAGTGTCTTGGAGGGACTTTCATCTAAATTACTCTGAAGTTAAACCTCCCTTCTTCTTGAATAGCCATATGAAACGCTCCTCATCCACTGCGTAGTATAAACAAGTCTAAAATTAATCACATCCTTGTTTTGTCTATTGTTTGGAAGGAACAGTGCAAAACGAATGTTCTGTTATAAGAAAGTACGATAGACCTGTGCATCGCTGTCTTTCGTTGAAGCTTTGTTATGGATTAACTTGGGGATGGTCTATGTTATTTATAAAATAAAGTATTTATGAACAATCCATTCCATAATAAGTTTCTTCACCTGATAAAACACCTAATAAATTCACCTCGGTGACATTAACCGATGCGCAAAATATTAAGGTGGCTCACAACGGTTATCTTCAGTGTTGAGCACTTCTTGAATGGATGAAAACTGAACTCGGTTTTTAGTAATAGGCTCTTACAGCTAAGCAACAACTTTTACTGGTAATAATAATAATAATGATAATGATAATAACAATGATATTAGTAATATTAATAATATCAATAATAATAATGGCAAAGCTAATATTAATGATATCAAAACTAATAATAATAATAATAATGATAGGAATAATAATGATAATGAAAATGAATGCCTTATTTAAACTGGAGATACAATCTATTAATGCTGGCCTTAATAAGAAAACAACCAAACTCTTATCCATCCAGTAAGAAGTGATATGAACCCTTTAACTCCAAGAAGTAATTTTCATGTAACTTCTCCTTACATTGATCAGCAGACATGTGATGAGAGTAGGCAAATGCATCGGTTAGAGGACTTTGTCTTCATAAAGCTCCAAATTCTCTTAACTAATGACAAAGGAAATCTATAGCAGCAAGAAAGGAGAATTACTAATTAGATCTTGGGAGGTAAAGGGTTTTAAATAAATCAGTTCGATGGGAAGGTGTTGCTTAGCAACTGTAACGTGATATTAAGCATTTGCGCTGCCTCACAGCGCTCTAAACTCCGAACATTTTGGTTGCCATGGTGTTTCTGAATTTAAATTGAGATTATGAAAAATTTGCATGAACTATTATTCATGTTCTATTTTCTCTATAATTTATCATTTTTTCACCCTGACTTTCCGGGTCTTAAGCACTGAGATGTCGCGTGTGCCTCAAAATTGCATTACAATATTTAGCCAGACTTTGATTTCTATTTAAGTCTTCATTGCACCAAATTTCTTTCTTCTAGCGACCAATATTTTACAATTTTAGGTCGCTGAAAACCTAGTTAGTTGAGTTTGGAGCGCTGTTTCAGTTTTGGTACTCAAAATGAGTTGTCAAGTCTGAGGGTTGATCTCTTGGTCACTCTTCAACGTTTTAAAGTATATTTTTGTATTCATAGATGTAAATATAAGCAATGCTACCGTTGTATATCACCAGCGTTTCTAGCAAGAAAAAAGGACCTTGGATTAATTACACTGCAGTTGAACTGTTTAAAGTCCAATTGGCATATCCGTGTTTACCTTTATTGCGTCATTAGCGTTTAAAGATAGCAAAGCTGATCATGGAAGATCATAGCAGAGTTCGTTATGTCAAAATATAGGAGCCAGAGATATCAGATACGTAGGGCAAAATGTTTGTTTTAAAAGCTTGAAATTCTGTATGTATCCCTCGTTCGCGTTAAGCAGTTTTGCACTAGTGCTAGCTCACCAAGTGTAAACAAAGCCTAAGGTTGAGGGCTTTAGTTCTTTTCCAAATAGCTAGCCTGCGAAAACAGCCGTTTATCCCGAGGACGAACGTCTTCGACTCAGCGACAGAAATTCGATACTGATGACGTAAATCAATGTTTAGATAATAAATCCTGTAGCCATGGGGTTCCAAATGCAAATTTGTTCAATTTTACGTTTCGCCTGGTCGATTTTGGTAAAGTGTTGTGTTCATCTGCGAAGGAGCTCCAGCAAAACGCAATTGCTTCTTCTAGAGAGGAATATATTCCACAAATATTGACTGTTTTGTTATAGATTCATCGCGTTTACATTTGACTTTTGTAGCCTTTTGTCGGTCATCCGTAAAAGATAGCTAAAACAATGAACTAGTCCGGCGTCCAATCAGCACTTATGACCGGATTCTGGACAGATTTTACGTCATCAGTATGGAATTTCTGTCGCTGAGTCGCAGACGTTCCTCCCCGCGAAACGTACCTAGCGGCGAAGAGCGAGGAGAAACGGTTGTCTTCGGAGGCTACCAAATAGCTGCGCAGTTGTGTTGCGTTAAGTCTGTGGTCAATTAGTAAAGACATACAGTGCTCCTTGAAACCCATGCAGCTTTCTAAAAAGAGTTCTTGCCCAGAACAATCTGGTAGAGTTGATATTTCGGCGAGTTTCGCTTCACGATCGGAACTTAAGAATATTTGACGGGGGATTTGACCATTACAAACCTAGGAATATCTTATTATTAATTAAATGAAATTCAAGAAAATGATTATTATGTCAACGAAGCCACTTTGTCATAAATAGTTCTTCTCAAGGACTGTGTATATTACATCAGTTATCTAAATTAAAAGTAAGTTATTGTAGTTTTTTTTTCGTTGT